TTTCTGTTGGAGGGATGACAGTCTGTGGTGTTGTAAGTTGGTAAGGAGGGGGTTGTGTTGGGCTTTTCTTTGTATTTTATTACGGGGTGTTGTAAGGAGTACCTCTTCTGTTTCAGTTTTTTTTCATGGCAATTTCTTATTACCTGAAATTGTATCTTCTTTTTTTTTCGTTTAATGTAATTTATCTTTACTATAAAAAAATATGATCATGTGAGTTTTCTCAGGGCACTAGCATCTATTTTGGTTGGTTGTTCCTGTGTGATTTTAATGCACATATAAATCCAAACTGACTTTGTTATGGTTTTCTGTAAAGACGTGTTTGATGCCAACTTCTAAGTTGGTTATTGTTCATTGTGTCTGCATCTGCAATAAAAAAATTTCTTTCTGCTACTTGGATGCAGGTCATTTACCTTTGACATTTAGAACTCCTCCTGTTAGCCCCCGTCGACAAAATTACTTGACAGGAATGCGAAGAGTTTGTTCTTTAGAGTTCAGGCCAAACCTACCGGCCTCTCCTGACTCGGGATTAGCTTATCCACTTTTGGGTTCTAGTGCGTCTTCTGGGACTTCAGAGCGTAGTTTGCTCCCACAATCAACTATCTACAACTGGAGTTGTGGTCATTTCTCAAGGCCACTCCTTACTGCTGCAGATGAGAATGAAGAAATATTGGTTAGAAGAGAAGAGAGAGAAAAATATGCTTTGGATCGAATAGCAAAATGCCAGCATTCTTGTGAGCCTTTGTGATTTATCAAGACATGGGCCTTTATTGTTTTTCTTTTTCTTTTGTTAAGTTTGATCTTATGTGGTGCGGAAAATGTAGTGATCATGGACCATCTCTGTTTTGCAGCTGTAAGCAAACTTCATAATCAAATTGCTAGTTGGGATACCAAGTTTGAAATGGGTACAAAGACAATTCTTCTACAACCTTTCTCTCCTGTCGTAATTGCTGCAGATGAGAGTGAAAGAATTAGGTACAGAATACGTCCTGTCTCTATTCCTGTTTAGTATTGTCCTCATTGAAGCATATAGACTGTCATATGCAATGTCATTTACATGAATGCTAAATGTTTTCATTTATCACCATTCTTACCTGTGTCTGCACATGCATGCATGTGCTTGCACAGTTGAGTGCACTAGCACACACAGCTGTACATGGATGGGTGCATGTGCATCTTGGGTCTTCATGATTAGTTATCTGATGATACATACCACTAATAATCCCCCCTCCCCAAAGTCGGTAGTTGCGGGAATCAGATCCACGTCTATGCTGGAGCGAACCAGCTAACATACCAACTGAGCCACCCCTCGGTAAATTGTTTGCTTTTCTGTGCATGCTGAAAAGGGTACATCTGTGTTTTATGTGAACAATCATTCCCATCTGTGCTGGTTGAAATTCCCTAGATGTATTGATTATTTACTTGGATCTGTAATATTTTTTTGTTTGTTGTTTATGATGTTTCACATTTATATTAACTTATTCTTATATTTTGGTTATTTCTCAGGGTATGGAACTATGAGGATGCTACTCTGCTCAACAGCTTTGATAACCATGATTTTCCTGACAAAGGAATTTCAAAGTTGTGTCTTGTAAATGAGCTTGATGAGAGTTTGCTTCTTGTTGCTTCATGTAAGATTCTTATCTGGTATTTTTGATAAGCAGTATGATAGTTATGGTGGCAATTGTTATATGGAAATAACATTTGGAAAGGCATAAGTCTTGAGAAATAACATTTAGCTTCAAAAAGCTAAATATAAATACATAAGCATATTATTACATGGGATACCTGTACTTGTATCCATGCCAAGTATTTTAGAAAATGGAGATTTCTATCCCCATTTCCTGTATCAATGCCTGTATCCGTATATGTATGTGGGTATCATAGACATGGGCATGACATCCATTTTCAGGTGTTCATGTGACAGTGTAGTAAGCCACTTTCACGGGATGTATATTTAGATGAATCTAATGGTATGCTTATTTAAAGGTGATGGAAACATTCGAATATGGAAAGATTACAGTATAAAAGAAAAACAAAAGCTGGTAACTGCGTTCTCTTCGATTCAAGGCCATAGACCTGGAGTGCGGAGTGTCAATGCTGTTGTGGATTGGCAGCAGCAATCTGGGTATTTGGTATGTGCTTATTTCAAGACTGTTGATAGTATTAATTGTACTGTTGATCCATAAATATTTGTTGATTTTGTTCAAATTTCTCGTGTTACATCAACCAGTATGCTTCTGGGGAGATATCATCAATCATGCTTTGGGATCTAGATAAAGAGCAACTTGTTAGTTCCATTGCTTCATCATCAGAGAGCAGCATCTCAGCATTGGTTAGTTTGTGCCCATTTGGCCCTGCATGTACTTTCCCTTATTTGCTGGCTACTGTAAAGGGTTATATTGAAGAATCTAGAATGTGGTGATGCTTTATTCTGTGTGTGTGTGTACTGTGTACACAAGAGAATGTGGGTAATTGGTAATTCTATCCACTCCATTTCACCTTTGGGTTTCCTAGGATCGCTCCTTGGGATTGCCTATAATAAGAGTTGGTCTTCCACCTGTGAAGACACCATGAGGATCAGTGCACTTTACATAGCATGTCAGTAAAATGCACTAAATCTTCACCATGTCTCCATGGATAAGGCTATGTGGTACACACCTCTAGGTGCTTCTAGGGACAAGGAGTGATTTGGAGGGTTCTGTGTCTCTAAATAAAATGGGGATGCAAGGTCCTCACCTGAATACAGATGAGAGGTAAGAGGAGGAAGACAGAAGATTTGGAGAGTACTAATTTCAGTGCCCTTTGTTCACACAATTCTGCTTTATATAGGCTTACATTACTTACACCATTTAGTTAAAACTAACTTCCTGTCTGACTTGTATATTCTACTTGGCACCTTGATCCCGTTGCAAAAACTTGCTGAAGTGTGGGAAAATGATCATCTTGGGAGGCGCTTATCCGCATGGGCCTGGGCTATGGCTGTGGCCTTAACACTAACATATTGATGTCAGACATAATATGTACAGAACTGGATATTGCTTGGACACTCTGATTAAAAAACTAGATACATAATCATGATATAAGCATATTAAATCCTACCTGTATTCTTGTCCAGGATCTTAGGAAATTAGAGTTGTTTATTGTTTCCTTTATCCATGTTCGTGTCAGTATCCATATCTGAGCATCATCAATGGTCAGTTTGTTTCTCATATAGTCCTATTTCTTTGGTATTACATAACACTCGTCATAGCATGGGGAGATCCTACTTTAATTTGTATGCATTATTTTGCTTTTTGATGGTTTTAATGAGTGTACGCTATTTTGTAGTCTGCTTCTCAAGTTCATGGGGGTCAGCTGGCAGCTGGCTTTGTGGATGGTTCTGTGAGACTATTTGACATCCGCACTCCTGAAATGTAAGCCTGCTTCTCTTCGCATGGAATAATTATCCAAATTACACAATCTTTGAACATTTTGTATGTGGTTTCAAGTGTTTTACCTGAAGCTCCTCTTCATGCTCTCTGCCTTGTAATGTTTCATGCTATCATTTTAATTACTTTTACTTTTTTGCATGTTTCTTTGAATCATAGGCTTGTTTGTGCTACACGGCCACACACACAGAGAGTAGAAAGAGTAGTGGGAATTGGCTTTCAACCTGGTTTAGACCCAGCAAAGGTATGCTTAAGTGCTTTAGTTGGTTTGAGATCTAAATAAGTGAAATTTTATTTAATATGGTACTTCATATGCCTCTTCATATATTTAATTTTCTGAGGAGTGCTAGCGACAACCATTTTTGCAGTTGTCCCATAGCACTCTCCATATACTGGTAACATGTAGGAATGACAACAGGGTGGGGATACTATTATATATATAATCGGGGTCGGGGTGGGGTGGGGACTTCATTCCCCATCCCCAACCCGATGGGGTTGGGGAGGTCGTGTACTCGGTGGGGATGGGGAAAATTGCCATCCCTAGTAACATGTAACCTCTGATATGTGTTTTTGTAGTTTAGTTGTATTGCTGTGTTTTGTCATGGGAGGTGCATTAGAGATTGTAGTCATTATTTCTGTGTTTTAACTCTCCTAAAGATATTTCATTTAGTTTGATTCAACTGTGGATTACAATGTTTCAGATAATGGAGATACTAGTCTTAATTAGGGGAAGTATCTTTGGTGATTACTTGATATTTTGTTATAATGGTTTTTGAGATCATTGCAAGTCTGGTCTTTTCTGATAATTTATAAATATGCAATGCCTATTTTTTTTGGTAAAGATATATTGCTAAAGCTCTGTTACATTTGAAGGGGCGAAAAGAGCTTGGGGCAGATCAATGAAAGACATTGATTGTAGTACTAAGAAATGAATCAAGTGTTTATAATTTAACAATGGATATTTGATACTGAACAGAATGGAATGGCGGAACAGGATTCATGTTGCTGATCTATATAGTTTGCACAGGGTTTAGATGATGATAAAATATTGCTAAAACATAAATATCCAAAGTAATGGTACAATGATGGCCTTTGGATTGGGAAAACTATTGGTAGAAGGCTTTATTCTACATCATTTATAAGGATGAAGTTTACATCTTTGACAACCATTCTGAAGTCTTGATTTCTTTGATTTCTATGCAGATTGTGAGTGCATCACAAGCTGGTGACATTCAGTTTCTAGATATTAGAAATCAAGCTGATGCATACCTCACAATTGATGCCCACAGGGGCTCACTCACAGCATTGGCTGTCCATCGTCATGCCCCTATTATTGCCAGTGGCTCAGCGAAGCAGCTCATCAAAGTCTTTAGCCTAGATGGCGGACAACTAGGTACCATCCGGTACCACCCTACTTTCATGGCCCAGAAGATTGGATCTGTAAGCTGTCTCACCTTCCATCCTTACCAAGTCTTGCTTGCTGCTGGTGCTGTGGATGCTTGTGTCTCAATTTATGCCGACGACAACACCCAAACAAGATGATCACTTTCAATGGCTCAAGTTCCTATTTGTGGGGGTAATGCAGGCACTTGAACATGCATCTCAATCTTGCTGATGTGACTTTATTGGGTCATTTAGATCATTGAGCTGATTACCTCCTGTTCCTTCACATTGGAGGACACAAATCAGGTGCACATGTGAAAATTGTATGTTACATATTCATTAGCCTCCACACCAAGGGTTGCACATCTCTTGAAAGAATTTAATACCCTGGGGGCTTTGGCCAATAATCGGTTATATAGGCAAAAGATGTAAATATTTTTGCTTTTTCTTCCTTGTTTTCTCCCTTTCCATCCCTTTGTTCAATTTGTAAAGACGGGATACTCGGTATCATTATTATAAATTAAGTGCTGCAGACTCTAGAAGTGGCGAGTTGGTGCTTCACCCTGCACAAACATGGGGCTTCAAACCCTCCACTTCCTGAGCTTGTATATTGTTTGGCTGAGCACTACTTGAGAGTAATTAACAAATCTTGCAGATGAAACTCTTGTAGATTCTGAATCTCTGATTGAGTTATATATGCTAATATTGATCGACCCTGGTTTGTTCACTCAAAATGGTATTTTTTTTTGTATGGTTCTTTGAACCGTGGTAGGAAAAGTGGCAAAGGCCCCATTTGGTAGGATCTTATTCATTTTTATCTGTGGCAAGGATTAAAGTATTAGTATCGAGTATCGTATCGGACAACTTTGATATGGATATATACTTGGGAAATGTATTGATATGAATGAAAAATATGGAAACGTTAAGAAAATGCACACAAATTTCATAAATATATTAATAGTATTAAGTTTAATGTCAAAACAATTATAAATAGTATATAAATACATAGGAGCTGTTTATTTAAATATATATATATATATATATATATATATATATATATATATTATAAAGATTTTTACAAGTTAATATATGCAAAAAGCCAATATTATTTTATTATCTATTAAAGTGTACTTATGTAACTATTATATTTGATTTATTATATCATTTTTTCTATTTTTCTATTTTATTTTTAACATTAACAAAAAAATGCAACTAAAAAATTATTTTTTAAATGTTTGATAAATAATACTTATATTTTTGTAAACAATAAATATGTTATTATAAAATGTAAATTAAAATATTAATTAATAATTTATAAAGTATATAATCTTAACTTAAAATATACTAAATCTATTAAAATTTTGAAAATGCATATCTTATAAAAATTCATAAATTTTAATTACTAAAATAGTTATTCCATTATTAATATTTTATTTTTATAAAAATTCGAAGTTAAAAATTATTTTTTATATAAAATGTAGGTTAATGGAGTTGATAAATCCAATTTATATTATATTTTACTTTTATTTTTGTAAATAATAAATACATTGTTATTTAATGTAAATTAAAACATTAATTAATAATTTATAAAAGTTTAAGATATATACCGTATGCAAATTTATAAAATTTAAGTATTAAAATAAATATTCTATTATGAATATTTTATTTGTATAAATTTTTAARATTAAAATTCATTTTTGATATATATATATATATTTATATATATATGGATTTTATAAATTATTTATTCCATTTATTTATAAAATACTAATTTTGAATATTGTTCTTTTTAATTTATAGTTGAAGTTTTTGAAAATAAATGTATGTTGTTTTTTGTTTGCATGTAAACATTAAGCTTAATAAAAGTTATTTTATTTCACTTGCTAACATGAAATAACAAATGGCTTTGTGGTTATTGTATGCCTAAGCATTGGGTGTGCATTGACCAATGTAGGATCAACTCATGCTATTTTCATTTTTTTTTTTTTATTGTGAGATGGTGTGTCATTAGTCGAAACCATAGTCGATATACTTTTGTATCGGTGCGTATCGGCCGATACTATGAGATACGCATTTATACGGTGGCATATTGAACCGATACGCATGACTGATAGGATATGCCTATAGTCGTAATGTATGATATATCGGTACAGCCCTTCTAGCCAGAAATGTTTTATTTTTGAATAAAAAGTAATAACAAAAAATAACAAAATGAAGATCTGAACCATAGATGCCTTGAATGCCGAAAACCAAGATGAAACAAGTAACTTCGGATAATCATTCAAAGAAATCCACGTAAAACAAATAGTTGTATATGGGAGTGCGTGGATATGTAACCTAGCTAATCCACCTGTTGTCCAGCGGTTGAGTTTCAACATCCACTCCAAGATGCTTGTGACAAGCAAATTGCTTAAGCTGCTAAGTTTGATATTTTTGTGGCGGAATTGTTTTCTCAAGTTCGGTTACAGCCAATAATATGGGTCTATTTTAGCCCATGATCCATTTGCATAGGAAATGTTGATTGACTGGGTCAATGACATGGCTCAGCTAGTCAAATTGTTGAAAGTCTAAACCAATCGGTAGGATATGTTCTAGACATTAAGTATCCTTTTTTGTATATTTTATTTTCATCATTTCCATCGAAGGATTAGCAATTTAGCATATTGATACTGATACGATGAATACCTCTGTTTTAAGCGGCAAAGTTGACCTTACTCCACGCCCAGCTAAAGCAGTCAATTTCATTAATCATGATGATGGTTTTTGGTGTACAAATAAATTCCAACTCGTTATAGATGTCTCAATTCTTAGGGGGCGTTTTTTTTTTATTTTTTTGGATTTTGAGAGGAGGAAAGTTGGTCAATGGGATTTTGGTTTTTATTGATTAAGAATCCCATGTTTTTTTTTTTCAGATTTATGTGAGGATCAGTGAAAGTTTATTTTCCGGGTAAGTGATACTCATCTCCTAGGTGGGTAAATAATTTTCTCACTTAGGCCCTGTTCGCTTTTCGGTAATTTACTTACTCGGGTACCTGGGTAAATTTTTCCTGGAAAACACTTACCTGGGTAAGTGCATTTACACATGTTCTTTTGTTTCTCATGTAAATAAGGCAATGGCCATTTTAGCCATGAAAATCCATTATTAAAATGGGCATTTTTGTCCCATTCAAGTGTTGGCAACTTTCCCCCTAGGGGGGGAGGGAAGTTATTTACCCACCTAGGAGATGGAGGTAAGTGATAACCAGGAAAATAAACTTTCCCTTGTCCCCACATAAATCCAAAAAAAGAATATGGGATTTTTGGTCAATGGAAACCAAAATCCCATTGACCAACTTTCCCCCTCTCAAAATCTGAAAATAGAATGCCCCCTTAGGGGGAAAGTTGCCAACACTTGAACGGGCCAAAAATGTCATTTTTAATAATGGATTTTTATGGCTAAAATGGTCGTTGCCTTATTTACATGAGAAATAAAAGAACATGGGTAAATGCACTAACTTGGATAAATGTTTCCAAGGAAAAACTTACCCAATTAACTGCATTTACTCGAATAAATAACTTACCGAAAAGCGATCAGGGCCTTAATAAAATCTGTAGTATTACACTGACACTGACACTGTGGTTCAAGATAAACTGGTGTGGACCTTTACAAATCAGAGAATTCTAATTACATCCTCAGTTAGAAGGCTCCTCTCAAATGAATTATCTAGTGGGTCCTCCAGTGGTTATTTGCATTCTGAGATGAAACGGAAACAACTCTGGAAGTTAAAAAATCCTTCCTCAACGGCTCAACTTCAAGTCAACAAATTGTTTGTTTGGAAGATATTTTACTAACAAGGGATAATATTTACAGGTTTGTCCCACTTCAAGAGAGATCACACCCAATCTGTGCTGAAGTTGTGGAAACAAGCATCCAGTCTTCTTCTCTGCCCGGGAGTCCAGCCTGTGTGGTTTGGCTCATGGCTTCATTTCAAACCACTGGAAATTCAGGCCACAGAAATATCTGAGTTTATCTATCATTGGTGGAAGCTCGACAATTCTGTAAAAGACAATGAAAAGGGACATTTATTTATGGGAGCAATTATTACGAGGCAAATCTGGTTTGCTCGTAATGCTGTAATTTTCGAGGGAGCTCACTTCGATCCGTATAAGATCATTACCTCAGCCTATGCACAGATCTCCTTTGCTCTGAACAACAATCAACAGCGTCTTATCGGAACTGCTACCTCTACTCCTTGGATGGTGCAGTGGCAAAGCCCCCCTGTGGGAACGGTGAAAATTAATGTTGATGCCGCTGTTAATGCTACAAGCCTACAACAGCTTCTGTAGGGCTTGTAGTCAGAGATCATAGCGGTTTGTTCTTGTTTGCTCGTGCTTTACCTATCTCTCTGTGTGACCATGGCCTAACATTCGCCTTACAAATGCAATTTTCGCATGTTATTCTTGAGGGTGATGCTATAGTCAATCTTCTGTTGGCTGGTTCTGGTAACCCACCGTGGAGACTGCACGTTATAGTCTCAGATTGCAGAAGTATTCTTCTCCAGCACCCTTCTTTCTCGGTCAGACATGTTTCTAGAAAAGCTAATGGCAGCAAGAAAGAGTCTCACTTTAAATAGCTGTTTTACTTGGTCTGTAATCCCTGACTTTCTCGCTACTATCATTGTAACTGACTCTTCTTACCAGATTGATAAATGAATCAGCCTATGACTTTCAAAAAGAAAAGGAGGGCTTTGCCTCCTCTATCAATGACTTCTTCTGGGATGGTTGGACGACAAAAATCGGATTCAAGTACTCTAGAGGAATTCATTTCCAAGAATTTCACCATGTTGACGTTCTTCTGGAATTTTACAGCAATATGCTTGCCTATACAATCAACAGATTCAGCACTGTAGGTGTAGGAGTGAGAAAAAGTCATCCTAGAGAGAGGCAGAGTCTTATTCAGGTAATCCCACTAAGCAAATGTCACTGAGGACATCAAAGCCTCTCAGGGAATTTCCCATATCGAATGTCTCAATACCTAAGATGACAAGAAAGTATCGTGTTTTGTTAGTCTTTTTCAGGTAATCCAACTGAAATTCATTGAAACACAAATAAGTGTTCAACAACATAGACAGCAGAAAGACAAGAAAACTTCGAGGCAGAGTATGAGTCTGTTCGGTGAACTTGGGACTTGAGAGAAAGCCTGCTCATGAGTTTCTTTTATGTCCTCCAAAACAGCTCAATTTTCATTGAGACAAGCTTCATTCGTATTCCTGATTGCGTGAAGGTGGTTCTGACAATCACTCTCAATGCAAACACAGTCCAAGCCAACCTTCGCAGCAAGCTTTAAACTAAGGGTGTTAATGGACCAGTTTTGGGTTGGATTCCTTCCAAATCAAAATCCATTTGGACGGACCAATAAGATATATTGAATTTGGATGGACTGGACGGACCAATATGACATATTGGATTGGACCTGGTCCGTCCATAATGAATTTATATTGGATTAAGCTAATATCTGATCCATTGATAGAAGATAATAACATAATTGTGAATGGACCAGGTTTGAGTTGAAACCAATCTAAATTAACAGGAATTTAAACAGATTGAACAGTCTCCGGACCGGTCCAAAATATTCATTGGACTGGATTGGACCAAATCCATTTATAATGGACTCACATTGGACTGGACCGGATTGGACCAAATCCAGTCCAATTGGCACCCCTGGCTTTAACCAGTGGAGAGCTGCCATAGCCCCTGAAAACAGAGGGGATCTGGAAACATAACTGCACGATAGTGCTCTGCTAAAAGGGTGCCGTCCTGACTCAAAACGATTGCTCCATATACCTAGATCTCTGGTAAGCTTGAAAAGAGCATCAATCCTAATGAAAGCAAATGGAATTCAGCCAGTCCAGGGAAATCTTGGCTTGGGCCTTTTTTAGCAGAGCACTATCGTGCAGTTATGTTTATGTTGATGTTTGAAATAGTAAATTTGATAGATAATAAATAAGATAATATTAGTTAAAAATGTTGTACTTATTAACATATAAATAATTTAGTAATTTTCTATTATTTTTATTAAGATTATATTATCAAAATTTTAAATTTTAAGTTATTATTTGAATAAACAATTATTGTTTTCAATATAATCGGGTCTATAATTTTGTTGTGATTAAATAATCGGTTCAGAATTACTTCTACTAGACCCAACCCATTAACAACAGTAATCAGACTAAGGCTCCCCCACTATAGTTATTTATTATTCTTAAATAATATAGTTATAGTTATTTTATTTAACAAAATAATAATAATTAGAGTAAATTATAGATAGGTTTTCTATACTTTGTGGTAGTGACAGATAGGTACCCTGAACTTTTAACAACACTTGAGTTCTCTGAACTCTTAAATATAGACACTTGGTTCCATCCTTTAGTATTTTGTCCATTAAACATTACACTTATTTGTGTAATTTTGAGATCATTCTGTAGAGTAAATTCATGACTAGAGAATGTCATTATCGGAAAATTTGAATCTATTATTTGTTGTTCTGTGAGAATGTCATCGTGGAGAGACATTCGGTTACCTGAGAATGATAAACATAAACATAAACATATGATAAAAGGGTCTAGTAGCAATTCTGTTAGTTTTTTTTTTTTTTTAGGAAAATAGAAAACAGAAATAATAATGCAAAATCTGGATAGGAAGTTCATAGAAATATTCCACGACTACGATTACAAAGAATGTACTGAGTGAAAAGAAAATATCGAGAGGGAGAGAGAAGAAAGAGAAGTATAACTTTCATATCTAGTCGGGAGCAAAAGTTTATTATTTGTCCTTTCTCCCCCGCTTCTAATTTTACTTGTTCTCATTTTCCGTCCCGGAGCTCAGTGTTTGCCTCTAATGGCGGTCTATACAAGTCGGAGGCGACTCTATATTAGGTTTTAGAAGAGCAGTGGTTTGGGTTGGGATACGTTGAGCAAATAAGGATATCTTGGGTATTTTCATTCATGGAAAAAATTTGAATGGAGGACAATATAGTAAATTTGGAAAACCCACTCATCACTTCCGTAGCAATGCATTAACCGGTGTCCCACTCACAATTAGCTTAAAATTCAATGTCATACGAAATATGATGAATTGAAAATTATAATGCATTAGGATGTACCTCTAATCTGAATTCAATTTATTGTCCAAGCCAAGTTCATCTAGAATAATTAATTATTAAAACAATTTCTTATATTTCATTTATGCAAATTACTAAAAAATGAAGTCGCCTTAATTAATCATAAATTTTTAATATGATGAATAATTAACAGCTATATCATCATACCTCCTTATCCCAACTAGATGGGGTGGGTTACATGGTTCTTGTTTCACTATTACATTCTTTTTAATGCCATATCATATCCCTTGTTAAATTATTTTTTTTATTTGGTATGCCAAGATCACCTTTTCTTATGTTTGTTATAGCTTCACATGAACAAATCATCAAAATCTATTTTCTTTCATTTTGATCACTACTAGGCTGGCTCATTAAGATGACTTGAGGTTTTAGCCTTAGCCTTTTTTAGTTTTTCCATCCGTCCATATTATTATACGTTTCTGGTAAACTTACTTTTTGGACATTATTTCTTTGACTGCTCAATACTCAAGCTAATAGGTTGGGGTTTGATTTCATTTGCTTGGAGGGTGATTTTCATTGTGGTTGAATCAGTAGGAGAGAAAACAGGGGAGAGAACAAGAGAACAAGAGAGAGAAGGAGGTGGTATCTCACCATTTCCTTGCAAAATTACAGCATCTTATTCATAATAAGATACAAACATATATTAATAATTTGCGTTTGAAAATAGATACATATGGATAGAAAATGAAGAGAAAGATGTGAAAACGACCAATATTATCCACATCGATGGCAAAAACTTCACATCTTCGACACTGTGTAGTCCATCACGTCCACAAGGAAGTCTGGAACCAAGGAAATTAGAAAGAACACAAGGTTAAGAGGTAAAAGAAAGAAAGAAAAACTATGAGAAGAGAGAAGCTCTTGTATCTATGCAAGTCTATGTGTGCAATGCTTGCAGCAGTTGCTGTTTTATAAATGGTGAGGTGTCTTAATTGAAATAATATTCACCTGCATCCTCCTTGGTGAAGCATAGGGGAGGTGTAACTCTGAACACGTTACCATAAAACCCGCCTTTCCCGATCAGCACTCCCATGTCTATTAAATTGAGATATGAGGTTAGTTTACGTAATATGTGCAGGATCAGCTCAGAGGGAGAGAAACAATGGAAGAGGGAAATTAAAAAGACCTTTCATCTGGTCCATAATGTGCAAAGTTTCAACTTTGGCTGGAGTCTTCGATCTGCGATCTGTGACAAGTTCAACTCCAAGCATCAAACCCCTTCCCCTCACATCACCGATAACTGCATACACCAAGTAAAACATAACATTCTATTAGGAAGAATTGAGAGAATCCATCATCATCAACTATATGGATGGATTGGGTGGGGTACATTTTAATTCCAGGATGACTTACTTTCATACTTGTCCTTGAGGGCTGTAAGGCGCTCTTTCAAATGAGACCCCACTACAAATGCGTTCTGCTGAAGCTCTTGTTTCTCGATTACTTTCAGAACAGCAAGTCCTCCAGCAGTACATACAGGATTTCCTCCAAAGGTATTGAAGTAACTGCGGCGAGTCAAGACCTGTGCAATCTCTGGAGTGGTTACCACTGCACCAATAGGAATCCCATTCCCAATGCCCTGGATGTATCAGAAGGAATTATTGTTTAGATCAACTGCATCCATTTTGAATGGATGAATAGTTTGATTAGAAAGTGCAGAAAATTTTAATTATAAAGGAAGTTAGCTGTAACTTAAGAACATACGACCTTAGCAATTGTCACAATGTCAGGCACAACTCCATGGGCTTCGAATCCCCAAAAATGACTCCCTGTGCGAGCAAACCCAGCCTGAACCTCATCAGCTATACAGAGACCCCCGGCTTTCCTTATGCTGCTATAAGCAGCAGGCAAATAACCTGGTGCCAGTTCTATAATTCCACCCACACCCTGTTAAAAAAAAAAAAAAAGCGTACAACTACACTTGAGAAATTGAACTCGGAAGAGAGCATCTGTTAAATGAAGCCCATGATTTTCTTCTTCTCATCTTTTTTTTGATTGGGAGGGGGGTGGGGGGGAGGAGGGATTAAAGCATATATAGGAATGGTACCTGTATGGCTTCGGCGATGAATCCAGCAACACGGCCGCATGTTCCAAACTCAATTATCTCTTGAACATCCTTTGCATATTTTTCTCCGTCTGAACCAAAGACACCCCTGTATTCATCTGGGTTCAAGGCATGGTGAATGCCAACCTGTTGGAGAATTTAATTAATATTAATATACAAGAATAACAAAATCACTTCATTCTGGCCTCCATCTCCAATTCTCCATGGGATTGATTTCCTCAACAGTCAACCCCACTAGGTTACAGGCAACCAGCGCAGTGACCATTATTCGACAATGATCTTGTATGAAAGGAAACACCAAGTGATGAAACATACACACACACACAAATACACCAGAACCTCCATGCTAAGCTCCGGAATTTCTGCACTAGCTTCTTTCCTACACTTCCTACACTAATCACGTGACAGATGTCCAAAGTCTCCTTATGGCTGGCTACTGACTACTGTAATAGAATTATAGAAAAAAAGAAACAAAACATCCCAACATAACTAACTACAATCATATACCGCTGAAGCCTGAAGCTGAAACAAAACAAAAAAAAGCACTCTAGCTCAGTGGTCGTCAAAAATCAAAATCAGATGGATATCCGGACCAGTTTGGTTCTTTTTGAAAGGTAAGACCGACCAGTTTGGTTCAACCATGTTAATTCGATGCCATTAAAGGTACACGATGCAAGATAGCCTGGCTATCAACTTTCAGTCAATATCTGTCCGCGTCTTTAGTCGACCATTTCTAAGGAAAAACCAGCCACAGCCAGATCTGTCGGGATGTCCAACCCGACTACCATGGGCACCAGTTCCCCGGATTTACCGACCGGTTCAACAGGTAGTGGATGAGCCGAAACCCGAAAGTCGATGCTGTTAAGTTAAGATATACAAGCTGGGCGCGCGGGGCCCATGATCAAAGACAGGAGGAGGCCCATGGGCCATGGCCATGTCGAACCCATACGCCATAGTAATTAAAATTTAAAAGGTAAAAACAACAAGAAAAACCTTTGAGAATGACCCGAAATGGACAAACTATATATAGCTTCAAGCTATGTATGTTTGTTATGATATCATCCTCATAATCATAACGATAACCACCCATAAGATGTATAATAATATTAGTTTTAAGATTATAATTAAATCGATAATCTCTGGAAATGAGAAAAGAAGCTCACTGCTCACCTGTGGGACGTTGAATTTCCAGTTACATTGTGCAGTAGCTCCCATCGTCCCAGCAGCGTTCCCATGGTACGCATTCCTGAGTGATATGATATCATGGCAGCCGGTGTATAACCGAGCGATCATCATCGCCAGCTCGTTCGCTTCCGTCCCAGAATTCGTGAAGAAAACAACCTATACATTCAATTCGTCCCCAGATTTTAAAGCTAAAGCAACACTCGAAGTAATCATCACTACAATACAATACAATACAATACAATACAATACAATACTTGCGTAGATCGAAGCAAAGTAGGATACCTTGAGATCTCCTGGTAACTTTGACGCCAGAGCCTCGGCGAAGTCTGCAATGACGTTATTTAGATACAACACAGTGGAGTGCTGCAAGCGCTTCGTCTGGTTCACAATCGCTTCAACTACATCGGGGTGGCAGTGTCCACAGCACACGGTAGCTATCCCCCCGAAGGCGTCCAGGTATCGACGGCCATCCTCATCGAACAAATATTGCATCTTTCCATCTACCACGTTCAGCTGCTCATCGTGTATATATATAAGAGGATCAGACGATGGATAATGTACAGTGGGGCCATTACCCATTAGCAATTGGTTCGGTGGGTGGGTCCCATATAATTGTTGTTGCGACTTGCGAGTAGATAATAACTAACGACTATAAGATTGGCTATTGCCTATGGAGTTCGATAGCCGTAAAAGTATAGAACAGCCCCCTTCCATCAACACTCAACATATAGATGGAGAAACTTGTAACCAGAAAAGTAAAGAAAAAAAAAAAGTGGAACTTGATTGTATTCAGAAATTTTCTAAAAATAGGGGATGGGGACGAGAAAGTAAAACAAAGAAGAGCCACGAATGGATGATGGATTATGAAGGCTCAGTCTGAGAAGAGTGCAAATACAGAAGGTTTTGTATTGAAAATATCATGCATTTGTATTTTCCCAAACTGAATACATGCAAAAATCTTGTATACGGTATTTATAAACTTTGTATTTGCATAGTGTACATCTGTATTTGTATTCTTCCTTTCCAAACTGAGAGAATATTTATGTTTGCACTCTTTCGAGACTGAAACGTAAGACTCAGTTTGAAAAGAGTACAATATGTACAGTGTAAATACATAAAAAAATAATACAAAATATAAGGTTTTGTATTCTATATATTTGTATTTATACACCTTCCAAACTGAGAAATCCCATAACGTTTAACGGTTTAAGAAATAAAAAGCATCAAAATGAAGAACAAAAAGATGGAATATATAAAGCCGGTGAGATGTAAATCATAGAAATTGCGAAGAGACAGGAGAAGAAATAGATATTTTGGGGGGAGGCGTACAGGTTTCTGGTAGAAGTAGAACATGGAAGGGCTGAGAAACTCTCCCCGCTTCTGCAAAATTTCAGCCGCCCGAGGACCCGTATACGGAGGCGGAGAGTAGTGGAAGGGGGGCATTTTAGGAAGACCAACATCTCCAAATTCCTCGATTATAGGCGCTGCGCTTTGGGCCAGGTGAGAGAAGCAACGGCGCCTGGAACTATGATCTTTTCGCCGTAATGCCGTCGCCAACACTCTCTTCATCATTCGATACGATACTTCTCTCTCTCTCGCTCGCTCTCACTGTTGTCTTTGTTTACCGAATCGTTAGCTTTTCAAGGGGGAAAGAGTGAGGAAAGAGAGATTAGTGAAGGAAAGGGGCGATGATGGACGGTTTATATAGAGCAGGAGGAGAGATACAATTTTGTTTGTAGTCTACTTTTTTTCTTTTTTCTGTTGATGAGATGATAAGATTACTTCAATTGCTTATATCGTAAGCTTACAAAAATGCCCCTATACGTATTATTGTACGGATTGAAATGGCAACATGCTTATCTGGGTTGAGCGTAATTTAGCGTGAAGTAGATGTAAACGAACCTATCGGAAAAAGAAAGTTGATGTGCAGTAGATTCAATCCCTAATAACATGTGTCTATGCAGGTGTGTTATTATATATAGAAAGTAAGAGAATATAAATTTAGCAACAGGCGGAGGTTTCAAAGGATTAAAGTGCGAGTGGCAGGCGGGACCGGATCTAGTAGGCACGAGTAAGTTGCAAATTTTAAGGAAAATAGTACAAAAGAAAATCTATTGATTGACGTCAGCCATTGCGTAAACAAAAAGCTTTTTTGTTTTTTGGGGTCGAAAACAAAAAGCCATTTGTGCGGGAGAACTCTCTCTCTCGCGAGCTTCCGTTAATTTGGTATCAGAAGGCTCCTCAATCCAAATATGGACAACGAACGAATGGCAACCGTTCTGATTGGTATGCAAACATATTACATATATACCTCAACTCTGGCATCGTAGGACTTACGATAGAGGGTAGCCCGATGGCCCGGCCCGCACCCCGTCGGGTTTGGTCATGTAATTAGGCCCGCGGGCCTGACCTCGGGCCTAACACAGTAAGTCCGACTGTGTTTCGGGCCGGGCTCGGGATTTGTCAAAAAAGCTCGGCCTGGCCTGATTCAGTATTATATATTTTATAAAATATATAATATGTATTTTATATTATATAAAATATATAAATAATATAATATTTATTAAAATATATATTTATAATTTAATATATACATTTTTTATTCTTTTCTTTATAATATCTCTCTCTCTCTCTCTCTATCTATCTATATATATATATATTTAGCTGCTAACAGTATGAGCTAAATTTCGGATTCGGGTGCAGACCCGGGCTTCAAGCTTTTTATGAGGGCCAGGCTCAGACTCGGGCCTTAGAAAATTCTATTAATACAGAGTGAAAGCCCATCCCGAGCCCGGCCCGGCCCCACCCCTGAACAGGTCTACTTACGAGTAACAACTTTGGCCACGATGCGACCCGCAATTAAGGCCTGAGTTTGAGAAGACTATAAATACAAATATGTACCGTGCAAATATGGATTGCAGTCCACTTATCCCTTCTCTTTACTCTCTTTTTAGTTTTTACATTTTACCTTGTTTAATGAAAGGGTCATTTACTTAGAGACCCTGTAATTCCTGAAACATCCCTATAGTTTACACATTAGTAAGACACCCCAATACTTTACAAATTGTAATCAATTTACTTAATCCAAATTTTATGAGAAACCATTGGTATTTTGGGATTGTATCCTCATGAAAAACCCAAAAAGTGCCCCCAATGAAAAATGCATAAGGGGTAATTATATGAAATTAGAGAGGGTGTCTAATTGTCCAAGTAAATGATGTTTAATCAAATATATCCAAAGAAACAAGATAAAGAAGAAAATTTTAAAGAAAATAATAAATGACTAAATTATTTTTTAATTAGGATGTTGATCCTAGGATTGTTCATGCCCACAAAGCGTGAGACGTGAGACACTTCGACAATCCAAAAACCTTTTGTTTATTAATTTAGTTAGTTTATTCAATTTAATATAATGTTATCCAAACATTTGTTTATTTAATAAAGTTAAATTATCTATTTAGTTAGGAATAATTTACTAACGAACTATTATTACTAGCAAAAAGGTAACTAGATTAGAGTTATCAATGGGTTGGGTCTAACTTATGGACCCAAATCGATCAAACCAATTATAATAGTTCTAGTTCTATGATTTTGTCTCGATTAATAATTGGGTTTCTTTCGGTTCTTGCCTGTCTTAAGCCAATTCAAACCCAAAACCAATTATTTTATGATATATATATAATCATATGTTTATGTTTGAAATAGTAAATTTGATAGAAAATAAGATAATATTAGTTAAAAATGTTTTACTTATTAACATATAAATAATTTAGTAATTTTCTATTATTTATATTAAGATTATATTATCAAAATTTTAAAATTTAAGTTATTAGTTGAATAAACAATTATTTTTTCAATATAATCGGGTCTATAATTTTGTCTTGATTAAATAATCGGTTCGAGATTAGTCTTACTAGACATAACCCATTGACAACCATAAGCAGACTAGGGCTTCCCCACTATAGTTATTTATTATTCTTAAATAATATAGTTATAGTTGTTTTATTTAACAAAATAATAATAATCTAATTTATTAGAGTAAATTATAGATAGGTTCCTTGTACTTTGTGGTAGTGACAGATATGTACCCTGAACTTTCAATTGCAACACTTGAATACCCTGAACTCTCAAACTTAGACACTTGGGTCCATCCTAGTATTTTGTCAGTTAAACATTACACTTGAGTACCCTACCTGTGTAATTTTGAGATCATTTCGTAGAGTAAATTCATGACTAGAGAATGTCATTGTTGAAAAAATTGAATCTATTATTTGTTGTTCGTGTGAGAATGTCATCGTAGAGAGACATTCGATTACCTGAGAATGATCTTAGAAATACATGGAAAGGGTATTTTTTGTATTATGTAATATTTAATTGACGGAATACTCAAGTGTTGCAATTGAAAGTTCAAGTACTTATTTGTCACTACTCCAAAGTATAAGATACCTATATATAATTTACCCAATTTATTAATGTATCTTCCGGCATTTTTCTATTTTACCCCTGCGAAGCATGGAAAAGTGTGGGAATTAGTAGAATTGAAAGAGTGTGTTAGGTGTTACTTCCTTCGTGGAGCTGGAGTCCTGCTAGCATGTGAAAATGTACAATGAACAAACCTCAGCCTCTAACTGCGTGGAACTCGGTGGGATCAAATCGCGAGATCTAGTGTTGTAAAAGGAAACTTTTGCTAATATAAAGGGGATGTGTCATTAAAGGCGTACAGTTCATTCCCATAATCATATCATATGAAGGGATTGGTCGGTCACTCCAATATTTCCAATGTGAGAAGAATTTGTCGGCATGGTTCAAAGCTAATTTGGATTAGCTGAATGCCATACAAGGCTGTGAAGTGTGAAAGCAATGATAGTATTCCACCAATAATAAAGTCATGAGTTCCACTGTAAAAGTGTGCAGGCCCCCGTATGTTTTATTACTCGTATAGAACATTATCACTGATTCTACAGCACGAAAAAAATTATTATTTTTCTTTACTTTCATATATTGACAAAGGGCTAATTTAAATGTTGTTCAACATTTACAAATTTTAGATGAAAAACCTTAAAAAAAAAAGTATCAATCACATATCAGTATGATATGATACATTTCAATAGAAGACGTATTGTATCAAAATCTTAAACATTGATTGAGAGTGGTGCCTGCTTTTCAAAATAAAATTGGCGTATCTTGATAAATAAAAGCGCAAGTTATTTTCACCCCCACCTTTTTTTTTTTTTCTCTCTTCATACTGCTCGAGTTTCACTATGAGCCCTGTGGGGCCAATACGAGTACGAAATAATAATAATAATAATGCAAAACAATACAAAGATTGACGAATTCAAAGTGATGATGATATTAGTTTATGAATGACATTAGATTAAGGTGGTGACATTTCTCTTATCTCTTCAGAGATTAGTTTAGCAAAAATTAAGGCTATAACTAAAATAAGAATTTAAGTAATGAATCTGTGGGCGGACGTACACAATGAATCTCCACTGAATTTGTGATTATTTTCTTAGTTCCACCTTACTGTGTCAATAATTGATGTTGTGTTAAAAATTGAGTGTACCAAACACATATACCTAATGTATATATATATATATAAGGAAGAAATGTTTGCTGCCATCAGACTCATTGATTAGAGCAAAATGGCTTTGGTTGCAAATTGCAATTTTCTATTGAGTTTGCCAAGTCTAAAACTATTCCCGATTTCTGGACTACTCTAAAATTCTATGATTTAAACAAGAAGAAAGGTCTACCGTCTACGTATTAAAGGACCATGCTATCCTTATCTAAGTCCTAGATATCCCATCAATATTTTGGACCATTGTGCTTCTTATCTATGCTTAGCCTATCAATATAATGGACAATGGAGAACTTTCAAGTAAGTACTTCTCTAATCATTTAATACACCATTACCGCCACCACCCTCCAGAAGAAGAAAAAAATACCATAAAGATTTTGGGATTTTTAGCCTGATGTTCATTCAAATTCACATGAATTTCTGATTGATTAAATTAAGTATTATAGGTATCATATATATCTATATCTTTCCGGTATGATAGAAGTTGCTATTTTTTATTTATATTTTTCTGCTCTTTGACCATAGAAATTTCGTATTCTTTATCGTATGCATTTGTTTTTCTAAAAGCAAACATAGCCTAATAGCCTAAGATGAAGATGAAAAGATAAGCTAATTCCTAACTGCAAATTAAAATCAAAATGTTGGCATTGATGCTAATGTTGGCACTTAGAATGGTGGACTACTATTTGATCTTGGAGCGACATCTCACATCTGTACGTACGTAAGACAGAGGTCCACAACTTCACCATATTATTTACATTTCCTTGGATTTGGTACGACCAGCTTGTTTGCGCGCAACTCTTATTACACATTCGATATTTTGGTATTTCATTATCATCCACGTGGAACCTATTATAATATATTAGATTTAATATTTTAAAGGTTGTCAAATTCTGTTTGGCCATTTCATACCATGGGATGAAAGGTGCATTAATTTGGACATTTCACCTTGTTGTTGGATTGGATTTGGTTCTAACATGACATGAATGCTTTTTTTCTTTTTGTCCCTACAATTGGTTTAATAAACATTGTTTTTTAAAAGGCACAAATATTTTTTGCCACATATTTTCTTCTCTTTTCAAAATTGAATATAGAAATACAATCTTCAATTTCTGGATT